TGACGCGGCGACTGACATTAGTGAAAACTTCACATTGGTTTGCGATGGCATTTTGACTAGACCCACTGAGCAGCGCAAGAAACTCTGTCAATATTTTCAGCGAAGCAATGTTTTCACGCATTTATATCTTTTACCTTTTAATAATCCTTTTTCATTAGGATGACGTAATTATTACCTTTTAAATATTTACTAGTCGTTGAGGTGCGAACAAAAGCCAGACACATAAAACAAAGAGCATTTGTTTGGGTACGAACTGTCGACGTAACACTCGCAATACTGTCACCGATCAATAGTCTCATATTTGAAACGAGGCTGTGTGGAGATGCAGCGTAGGTATGCATAACAAAATTTGCTGACACCGACTCCAAGAATATCAATATATTAATACAATTAAATAAAAACTATTTATCTACATTTTAGTGCACTTTACTTTTGGAATCGCGTTAAATTTTTATCATGTTCCAGAAGTAAATATAGGTAACTAAATTCAAGGATTTCACTTGCGGCATTTCTTCCGGAACCGCAACCGGTTTTTACGAGGCGTCGTGAAGCGCAAGTGTCACCTCGCAGACACCTCGCGCCGATGTCTTTACGACTTCGCTAAACGCTTCGCACGACGTCAAGTGTCCTTCAGAGGTGATACAGCGGTAAAATAAAAATCTATGTGCAAAATTACTGCTATTAAAGAATTCTGTATAATAAGAAGATCATAATTTTGCATTAGAATATCTTATGTCCTTAAACTCGTAATACTTTTTATAGATAGACACGTTAGGTATATTATTTTCGTCATAATTATATTCGTTCTTTTTTGGATATCCATTACAATTACACACTCTACTATTGTTAGATTTTGGAAACAAATACCTACAACTGAAACGAGCGGGATGTGCCGTCTAATAGGAAATGCCATTGAATGCAACGTCATCACTGCAAGCACCGATGTGACGTTGAATTTCCGTCCTTGTAAGCACGCAGCCTGCTTGTCTCAGCTGCATGTACTGCAGTACGGGATGGAACGCGTTAAGCGCAGAACACGTCACGCAAGCGGTTTGACGTTTCTCATAATGTAATTGCATAATACGTAGGTATATGTCGTGAAATAGCATGTGCAGATGTGCACCCGTTCGAAGATCTAAATTAAATTTACGTGTGCGCAACCAAAATCGTCTTGTCAATGGGTCAAAGATCTTCGTTATGCATCTAATTCGGATAACGCTCTGCTAGTTGTGGTAGCCAGGGAGGGGCGGAGGTCAGGACCGCGTATAATCCGCTTAGCAACTCCGTCTCTGACGTAAGCACGTTTGGATGCTTCAGTGTCCCGACAAGCCACATGCTAATTATGGATTTCACAGCCGGAGGATCGAAAAAAAACCGATTTTTTAATACTTATTTAATTAAAATAAAATAAAAGAATTACAATAAAACTTATTTCCTAAAATATAGTATTGACCCGATCGATGTAAGATTATGAGTGGCGTGATGGCGCGCTGGCTCGGCGTCCGGTCGTCGGTCACGTTGGCGGTGCACGGGTGCGGCGTCAGCGTTTACTTGGTTTTGTGGTCTTACGAAATTGGGCTAGCTGATGGACTTTGGTGTCAGCAGCCTTCATACTAGTGGAATACGTAATTCGCCTGAACAAAAACAAAGGGTAATATTTTGGTGTTATACATAGATTTCGAATATAAAAAATATATAATTTAACGAATTAAGACATGACAAAAAAACTGAGGTATGTCTCGTTTCTGTCAGGCCTGGGTTACAGATGACCGTTCTTCTTTAGCATTGAATGATAAGTTATGTTACTTGTAAGTTTTGCAGTTTGTTTGTGCTAATTTTGTTTTTTTTTNACGTAATTTGCTTGAACCCTCTTCTATGTAATTAACGGTAAACAGTAACAACAAAATTCAGGCATGGAGAAGACTCTCCTTAGTTTACACTAGCATTGCACAGAAAATACAGCTATAGGAACGGAATAACGTAGCTTGACATCTCTTGAAGAATTCGAATCTATTAAGCCGAGACATCTTATCTAACAATAACTCGTGCCCAACTGCCCACCGCCGTAGCCTGCAACTAGCAGTAATTATGCACACTAACGCACTCGATTAATATTCATGTGATTGCAAATTAGCTGTAACAATCAAGATGGGACTCTGATCCAATAATAACTCATAACTCCATTGATTAGTAAGTAGTGATGGGACAGTCAGGCATAACGACTAAAAAGACTTCAGACAACAATACTATCAGAAGAGCACAATTTTTATAAAGGTTATAGGGACCCATAAGATGCAGGGAGCAATTAGGTGCAAGGAGCCATTACATGCAGACTTCATTGTCGTTTTCGTTAGAAGGCAATAGCTATTACATAAATAAAAATAATATAAAAAAACATAATGTAGAATATTAATTGACATCAGTAATGTTATGATACAGTTAACACTTTTTGTAAAGATTAACTGGTAGATATTTATTTGGCGTGAGCCTATCTTAGAATTAATAGAGCAAGCCAAACGCCCACACAGCAATATCTGGCGAGCGAGATACGTGTCCCTGAAGACTGATAACCCGTCAGGTAAATATGTACATACATTATTTCTACGTTTAGAAAGCTCTAAATAATGCAAACTAAGTGATTTATATTTAAAGTATTTTATGATGAATTTGACAGTCACTTCATACTGATTGACATTGCTTATAAGGGCTATGGGAATATTCCCAACTCTCGTTCCCACCGCTGCAACTCATGTGTAGCCAGAAATCTACATTGGCGATCAGCCAATAAAAAACCCAACCAGTGCAAGTCAAGTTTGTCCCGGGGTAAGATAAACTGTCATTGGACCCGCAACGTAATTATTCAGAAGAACATAGGCTTATTATAAATTGTTTCAATTTATTATAGCAATAGCGCGACGGTAGTTCAACCGAAAATAATATTATTTGCCTACTCACTGACTGGGCTCACAGAGAGAAGGATTGGTTTTAACTAGTTTAAAGAAGCAAAGTGAGGCCAGTGACGTGCTTTACTTTTTACTCGTAAAATTAAAATCAGGGAGGCGAAGCTCACAAATTACAAGTAAGTGCTGTTTAACGATGCTCTTTCGGTATCAACGAACTTGTCTTCTACTTGTCGACTACACGGTGCAGTCATTACTGTAGACTAACATTTCTCTTCGTAGTTATTATTCGCGCTTGTAATTTTCCCCTCCATTACACTACTTTTATAAAGTAACGCGAAGATTGCGTCTTCAATCGCTGCAGTTTCTTAGAGATACAAAATCGAGTAATTTGTGCGAAGGCTGTCGTTGAACTATAGGACAAGCGATTGATGGCGAAACTATTAATTTAGTTAGAGAAAAGACATGGGTTGTCTCCCAAAGCACTTATTACAACAATGTCTTTACTTGTTTAGGTATACACACACTCAGATTATATGTATAGCTTTCATTCGTTTCAGCCGAATGACGTCCACTGCTGGACAAAGGCCTCCACCAAGGATTTTCATAAAGCTTCCACATATACAGGGTGGAATTTTGTAATGCCACCTGAAGGGAAAGTACTCGTAATACTGTAGATAGAAAATTTTACTGAAAGAAAACATTCCTTTATTTTTGAAAAGAAAGAGAACTGCATTCAAAGATTTTCGAAAATTTGCTTGCCACACCATCTACAATTTTAAGAGTACTTTCCCTCCAGGTGGCATTACAAAATTCCACTCTGTATAGCTTTGACATTTAATATTTAGCCATAGGTACTCGTACTTAATCTGCGCTACCAGTAGAACTGTTCCGAAATGATCAACGGTTTGTAATCTCGGCCGTCTTTATTCACCTGCAGGTAGATTGAGAGCATGCTATCGGAAAAGTCTGGGCCATAAAACACTGGGTGCCTCTTTTACATAATAATAATCTATTGTAGAACTTATTAAATTTATTTTATTGCAATTAAGTTAGAGCTAAGTTTAAATGCAAGCAGTTATTATGAAAAGTGTTGCTAGAATGAATTATTTTGAAGTAAGTAAATGTTTGTTGTTTAAAAAATAATAATTTTTCAGCCTAAAAGTTTGATATTTTAACTTTTTAAAAGTAAGTAGGTACTTACTGCTCGAAAGAACTTTTGTTATTGCTCAGAAAACTTTGAAACTAATATTGCTCTAGCTGTAAAAGTGCGCTAAAGCAAGCTGATTTACGCAACTTTGTTGAAAGCAGTGCTCTCTTGAACAGATAAACTACTCGTATTTAACAAAGTTATAAAAATCTAGAATAATCGTTTTGTCTTTGATTTATCTATGTCATATAAAAGTTTAAATGTCTAAAATGTTCGTATTTCGTTTGAGGCCATTTATTCTAGTTAAAGTTAAATTCAATGTGAAGTACGCTGCCCGCAAAATACAGAAAGTGGGACAGGTGAAACTAAATAAAAGCTTGTAACAAAGCCATTTGAAACAATAGTATCCTTAGTTTTACCGCTTTAAGCAGTGAACCCTATTCTTCCCATTTCCGCTGTATCCCCGGCCTTAGAGCCGTCAAGGTGCAGCGCTGCCCGGATCTCCGGATACGTTTTCAATTAACTGGCGCTGCGATCGGGAGTCGCTTAATATCACTCGGTGCGAGCACAATCAGCTGGTGGATTGCCGGCGGGAATGTTGCGAGGCAGCGGACAAAGGATTATTACCTGGAAAGGATTGAGTTTTATTACGGGCTAGGCACGCCCGCTGGGACGGATCGAAGGGATCCGATGGGAACACTAAATTGATTAATTTACCCACTTAAAATTTTTCTTAACCCCTGTATAACAAAACAGTTACACACAGTTATTTACTCACTTTAAAATCGAGCTTTACACTACATACACTAGCCCAGTTAGGATCGATAGAGATATTGTGTAAGTGACCAGCTAGACTAGTATTATAAGATTATATCGTGTCATCTGCTAATAGACAGATAGGGCTAAGGCCGTTGACTAGGCAACTACGTCTATATTAGCTGAGACCAACGATGCCAATGAGTGCGATTGGAATGGTCAAGACTGCGGCGTCATTGGTTAGTTAGTTGCTGCCACCAAAACGGTAATTGTCGGCTATGAATCATTTGAAATTATTTACCTCAACTTCTTTTGAGAATATACATCCAGGACTAAATCAGCCTGAAGAAACCTTCTAGCCAATGTAAACAATAATTGTATTACACGAAAGCAAATTTTCCAAGTAAAGAAAATAAAATTTGCCCCATGTTAGCTAAAGCTTATCGCGCTAAGCAATATACGAGTACTGTTAAAGAAAACGGGCGATAGCCTAGTAGAAAGACATCTATGGTACAGCCTGAATAAGGCGTTTAAGAACCATTCGAATCTAACCTTCAGAGAGGTAAGCCTCTGCGCCAGGATAGCATTGTGTTGTTCGGCGAAAATGTTGCTATTGCATCCTGCCTGACTTCTTCTCTGCTTAGCCCATTTCCATTTTATTTGGGGTCGGCCCATGAATCAGTTGTTCGTTCGTTTCAGCCAAATGACGTCCACTGCTGGACAAAGGCCTCCCCCAAGGTTTTCCACAATGAACGGTCCTGCGCTGCCCGCATCCAGGCTCTTCCCGCGACCTTTACCAGACGTCGGTCCACCTAGTAGGAGGCCTGCCCACGCTACGTCTTCCAGCCCTCGCCAGAATCAGTTGACTGATGATAAATTACTGATGTTCACACCTCATTCCACAATTACCTACTGTGCACTTGTTTCAGTCAGCTATTAAAAATTGGCATTTCAATGGATAGATTTTTAATATTTTTAATTGTTCTTTATGCTTGTTACCCATATAACTACTGATTCGATCTTTATTATGCATAAAGTGCTCAACGTAAACCTAAAGCATACCATCTCAAAACTCAAGTGCCTAATAACTCCACCAAATTGACGTTAAAGTGTAGCTTCGGTGTACAACATAGTTTCGGTGTAGAGCCAAGTACGTTTATTGGCCGTTTCGTGACGTGTGCCACGTCCGTCGTTGCAAGCTCGTCCCGGCCGCGGAAACTTTGACGATTAGGGCGCGGGTGACGTCACGCCGCGGCACTAATTAAGATAAAACACTAAGTGCCTTTTCACACGTTCCGGTTGCCGGCTATCCGGCGCCGGGTACCCGGTGGTGAAGTGTATGGGCATGGTACGTAGCTTTCACATGTTCCGGCGTAATTAATCCGGCATGCCCATACATTCACGACCGGGTACNACGTAATTAGCGTCACTACTCATATAATAATAAAAATATTTTTAAGTTGCAGCAATCATTTCTCTCCACAAATGTAAAATGATCTCATTCGCAACACAATAACAATAAAACTACCTGACAGACATTATGAAAATTGATACCTCTACGCAAGAGTCGTCTTACGGTTGCTCGATGCAATTAATAACTGCGTTTATTAGTCGTATGCAAGCAAAGAATTAATGGAAATAAACTACAATATGCCATACATCCTACTAATATTATAAATGCGAAAGTTTGGATGTCTGGATGTTTGTTACTCTTTCACGCAAAAACTACTGAACAGATGTTGTTGAAACTTTACAGTGTTGTTGTTTATAACCCAGAATAACATATAGGCTTTAATTTATGACATTTAAATTTCATACGGGTGAAGCCGTGGGCAGCCGCTAGTTAGAGATAATAGGAAAAACTTTAGCGATAAAAGCAATAGAACTAATTTAGGAAACAGAAATCAATGAACATGATGGAGAAAGTTCGCTCTGACAAAACTTTTTCGTATTTGAAGGTCCCTGGAATTTGGGAAAGTATGTAATCGGGAAAACGGATGCTGGGAATCTTATTCTTAACAAGCTCTAGGAAAACCAACAATTTGGCAATTTTACAGTAGTTTTGAAAAATTCATCGTGATAGAAGATTCTTCTGAAATTCTAAATACCTACCTCTTAGCATAACATTGGATGTAGAGATTCTTATTCTTATAAGCTCTGGAAAAACCTATAACTAGGCAATTTTGCAAGTTCTATCTAAGTTAGAACTTGTAGAAAAATACAGGGTGTCCCAAAAAGTAGGGTCAAGCCGAAGGCCAGATGTAGAGCATCACTAGAGGGCTACCCAAATCACGCCCATGTATGTGCCACGATTTTTGATAGCTACACAATTTTGGATAGCGTAACCTATAATAGGTTAAGATAATGTCTTAACTGGCGCAGTAAATAGACCATCAACTTGATAGTACAGCTAAAATAAACACCATCATCATACTGGTTACGCAGGTTATAAAGAAAGAAAAAGTAACAAAGACATTATGACACGAAATGAATCGGATAATGGCGGCGGCACAATGTTATTATATAATTTCCTTTCTTTTTGTCTCTTTATTCGGCTGACTGACATGTCAATGTTAAAGAAAGTTTCTCAAAGAAATTGTTTTTACTTTGTCACGTCTTGTTTTTCGGTAAACTTGTATGGACTACTAGTACTCCGGTAATCAGTTAAGGTTACAACTCAAGTCTTATTTTGAAAGTTAGAAAGGTTTTGAGTCCAAAGCCCAAGTGGAGGCAAAAGGTGATAAAAAATATGTTGATATGTATCAGAATATGTTGATATATAACCTAATTTAATTAGGTTTCCTGTTTCCAGGCATTGGATGCAAAAAAATTTAATGATTAAAAGAAAAAACGATTTTGTGCTTTCTAATGTTCATAATTATTATGTTTTCTAAGTTTGTGCCTAAGTAAGGGTGTCCGTTGTTGATATACTTTGATCACACAAGGCATAGAGATTTGAAACACAGCCAATACAATTTGTTTTATGTGTGTTATTCGTTTTTTTTTTCAGATACACAGGACACTGTCCTATGCTCAAGTTCCGATTCGGCAAATGTTACGGGGACAACACGAGGCAAATACTCCGAGAAATCCGATCCAAAGGACTATTCAAGTAAGGAATCTAGTAAATTAACTATCCTTTGTCTACGATTTTGTCTAAGTGCCTAACTCTAAGTAATAATGAGCTATTCTGATTTATATGGAACTTGCGGCCAGAAAGTAAATAAATAAATAAATAAATAAATAAATAAATCTTTGGACAATTTCACACAGCGCCAGCTAGCCCCAAAGTAAGCAACTTAATGCTTGTGTTATGGGTGCTAGCTTAACGGGTATACTACTTATATACTTTTTTTTTTAAATACATAAATATTATACATAGTCACACCCAGAGTACCCAGACCCGTCACAGAAATTAAAATTCATCATTTCAATTTCTGCCCGGCCGGGAATCGAACCCGGGACCTCTCGGCATAGTAGTCCGTTCTGAACCACTACACCAAACGGCCGACAAATTTTAAATGCAAACTAAGTATTTTAATGAATTAATAAACCAGTAGAAAATGTAGTTTATTATTATGACTGACATTACAATATCCGCATTTCTATTTATACGTAGCTATAAGTGATTTTTTTAAATAGGTACTCACTGTAACTGTACAGTACCTATACTGTTGTAAACTTTCCATTTGTACAAGCGAAGCCAATGAAAGTGTTTTAAAAGTAGGTAATGTTGAGGAGCACGACCCTCTAATTTCGCAGAGGCAAATTGAGGATTTAGCCTACTACACTCCCCACGATGACCCTGTTCTCATGTTAATCCCTTAGTCGCCTTTTACAATGTTCACCTGATAATTTCTATTATAGCCTGACCAGGAACNTTTCACATGTTCCGGCGTAATTAATCCGGCATGCCCATACATTCACGACCGGGTACCCGGCGCCGGATAGCCGGCAACCGGAACGTGTGAAAAGGCACTAAGGCTGAGTTGCATCACCTAACTTTGACCGTAAGGCCCTTTTCACACGTCCCGGTTGCCGGCTAACCGGCGCCGGCTACCCGGCGTCAAATGTATGGGCATGCCGGATTAATTACGCCGGAACATGTGAAAGCTACGTACCATGCCCATACACTTCACCACCGGGTACCCGGCGCCGGATAGCCGGCAACCGGAACGTGTGAAAAGGCACTAACTATAACGATAACCGGTGCTTTTTGTATGGGGTTTGACAGATTTTTGACGTTTGTCAAAGTTTAAGTAAGATGGTACCCAGCCTAAGCACGCGGAAGTTAGGCAGTGTGGACATTAAGTTTTAAGTAGCGTCGTGCTTAAACTCTCTATTATGAAGGGAATATTCAAATACCTTACTTTCCTATTGAAGCTGCTTATAAGCTTTATAATAATTACTAGCGGCCGCCCGCGACTTCGTACGCATGGACCTCGTTTTACTCCATTAGGGGTGGACTTTCGTAATAATTATAATTTTAAGCAAAAAATTCGTCGTTATTCCGGAATAACAGTTTAATATTTCATTTCCTCTTTTACAGAAAGTAAATCATCCGAGTTTGACATAAGAAATCTATAGTAAATACTATCAGTCATGTCACCGTCCCGCAGACGAGGCGACCGCCCCAGACATATTCATCGACTAACGATCCATTAATAACTAATGACGCATCTTCATAAAAATACGTCGCAAAGATAGATTTCCTCTCCTCGATATTAATTTTGGGTGAATTTCCGAGTTACTAATCGTTTACAACATTTCTAAAAATACAATATTTTTTGTCGAAGTCAAAATGAATTCAAAAGGTCGGCCATAGTAAAAATACTCTGTTCAGTCAGGCGGAGATTGGCTGGATGGCTCAAACTTGGAGTGCAAGTGTGGTTTTGTTCCCCAGTCGACGAAGCATATGATGTCGTGCCCTGCGTGCCCAAACAACTGCACGCAGGAAGATTTAATGAAGGCTACTGACAACATCATTCTTGTGGCGGAGTTTTGGGCTGACACTGTGTAGGTTTGTTGTCGACACGACAAGAAGAAGAATGAATCCTGTTTTTGTTCTATTTTGTGATATAAGTATTATATTTTCGAAACAACGCCGTAACTTTAATGTATGTGACCAAGATGGTAACTTAACGAAAGCGCGTATCTTGAGCCAACTAGACATCTCGCAGTGCTCACAGGTGACACGACTCGTACCGAGGAGAAAACGGCGCGAGCGACGTAAGGCATTTACTTAACACTTCATTTGCGGCGTGTCACATCGGCGACGATCGACTGGTAATTGCCGCACAGCACAGTGAGAACACACAATACACACGATACCTAGTTATAGATTAACTTAAACAGCAGTTATGGTTATGGTTTGTTCGTGACTACATTAATCATTACTAGCCTAATGCCAAGCAACGACGACGCCAAAATCTCGTAACAACAAGAGCACGTAGCTACTTAGCGCCATATTCCGCACTACAGACTTTACTCTAAGGACGTGCAGAAGTGTAATCCAGCAAAGGGCACAATATAAAAATTATAGCCTTCTTTCAATTGCATAATTAAAATCGTATTCTGTTGTATGTAACCCACTAGTGCGCCGAGCTCGCCGGGCTGGGCGGGACGCGCCGTCATTTCCGAACTCATTTGCAATTGATTCCGGCTGCGAATATCCACGTCGACCCTTTGAACGCTCTTTGCTTCAAATGCTTGACTAGATTATTTTCGTAGGCGCTCTCTCTTTGCGATGGCCTTCAGATAAGTAGGCAAAATAAAGCAAATGCTGCGTAGTGTAAAAAAGAATTAACTAACATTTTACATACTACATAGTAGTAGTAACTGATTATTTTTTGACTATAGTAAATGTATTTCAATATTATAGTCTCTAAGCAAAATAGTTACAAAAAAAAAGTTTCAGTAAGATAGATTAGATTTTTTACATCTTTCCTGTCAGCAGCCCAAGTCATTGCGGAGGAGTCCTTTTTAGTTTATTTTTGGAACAAAAAACATCTTTAAAACTTCTGGTAAATTATAAAATAGGTAGTATCAACCACAAGTGTTTGACAAGTGCATCTATGCTATGCGGCCGACTGTGCGCAAGCCGTCACAGCCTTAATTAAATACTGTCTTGCAGTTAATTAAGAACTTCACGTGGCAGCCGCGTACTTTCACGGTGGATCCCTTTGATTCACATTTGAGTATGTCAACGGTTACAACGAAATCTGTAACACGGCCTCCTTATTAATTTAAAGAACGTGCTTGTTTAAAATTAACGGAACTGATTTTTTATTCTGCAATCTAAAAGAAAGTGTCAAAATTGGTTCAAGAAAATAGAGTCGGTTAAAGGGTATTTCAATTGAATTATCTTCATAATTTTCAATTACAAACGTAAACGGTAAACTCCCTACGTCAACAAGTAGAACAACTTTTTCAACGAATGGACGTTGTTGTCGCCCGAGAGTCCTGAGAGGGCGCTGTTTGTCCGCCTGAGTATACATACATGCTCACACCTTAGTAAATTATTAATTCGAGTAGGTATTATGCAAACGTCGTTAGTATTAACGAGAAATATGGATATCGAAATAAGTATAATGTTTAGAGGAAATCAATCTATTAAGCTACTTTACTTTATTTTATAAACCAATCAAACATTGAATACTGAAAATTAATAGGTATTCTCAAAAGGTCAACATTATTATTACAAGTACGCTATGCTACTATAATTTTAATATATCGTTGTTTTTTTAGTATCTAAAACAGGGCAAGATCTGTGCAAAATCCAAGTTTAACAAACCCTGTATTTTTCTGTTTATAATTTTGCCAAAAATTAAGTAGTAACTCATTTACCTTTCCTGAAATTTTTAGTTACCTAAGTACCCTATTCATCATTTGAAATTAATCTACGTTCAACTAAAACCGCAGGATTTACAGCGTTATCGATCTATTCTAATTGAACAGGAGCAAATTTCTCCGAAAATGCTGACTAAATTACAGCCCTGTGTAACGGATGCGCGCGTATAGCAGGTACAAGCTCGCATCAATCGCGCGGCGTAATCAACCGCCCTTATAAACCTTAACCCATCGCTATTTTCGATTCAGTGTAATTGGAAACTACACGCGCTCGAGCGCGTCTGGGCGGCGGACGAGTGCAGGTCAACTGGCTGATACAGAAGATTAACTTGCCGAAAATTACTGATTTTCTTTCAGTATCGTAGGTAGTAGGGATACATGAATTTTCTAGTGATTGAATATATAATTGAGGAATTTGATATAATGTGAATAATTTGTATAAACCAACTTCTGTCCTTAAATCTTTTGAGAACAAAATAATTACAATTTAATGTAGGTTTTCTATTGTTTCAAGTAAAATTTTAGTGACTATCAAATATTATTATCAATCCCTCACGCTAGCCAACTGATTTACCTGCTCATTCATATTCAGTTGCTATCTATTTATACGCCAGTGACCACTAGATACAAACGTCAGGCGTCCTTTACCCCAAAATATCTCGCAATGAAATAACTCGAAATACCTTTTCAGAGGTAAACATCGACCGTTTTATATTTAACCAGCTTTAGCCTAAATGACAAAAGCTTCTTTATTTAGCCACGTTTCTAACCACAGTTGGCATGACTAAATAATGGATATTGTATTATTGTTCAATATATTTTAAAAATGTATGTATATTTATGTAGATTTGTAAATATATTTTTTTAAGAATTTTAGTAATTTGTATTGCACCCACAATTTATTTATCCTAGCTCTAAGATCCCAACTAATATTATAAATGCGAAAGTAACTCTGTCTGTCTGTCTGTCTGTTACGCTTTCCCGCTTAAACCTCGCAACCGATTTTGATGAAATTTGGCATAGAGATAGTTTGAGTCCCGGGAAAGAACATAGGATAGTTTTTATCCCGGTTTTTGAAACAGGGACGCGCGCGATAAAGTTTTTCTGTGACAGACAAAATTCCACGCGGGCGAAGCCGCGGGCGGAAAGCTAGTAGCATATAAATAACATGGTTAAATATCTAAATAATAAGAAACTGACTGACTGACTGACAGATCAACGCACAGCTTAAACGGCTAAACGTAGGCACTTGAAATTTGGAAGGGACGTAGCTTAGGTACCGTAGAGGTGCACTAAGAAAGGAATTACCGAAATTCCCACGGGAACGGGAATTAGCGGGAAAAACGGGATTCACGCGTACGAAGTCGCGGGCGGCCGCTATTAAATATAATTTACTTTCATAGTGTTTTAAACATGCAGCAAATTCAATATCGAATTTTAATCTCCAAGCGAGCGCGGATATGAAATTTAAATTAAACCATGATTCATAACCGTTCTAAATCCTCTTTAAAAATGGGCAGATCAGCCGATAGAATGTCTTCGGGACATAGAATATGAAATTAATTTGATAAAACTTTGTCCTCTGAAATACGGCCGCTCGGGCGGACCGGAAATAAGCTGCGCCCCGCGCTCGCCGGTAAATCTATTGGATGTTTTTTGCGCTTACAACTTACAGCTAATACAAAACCCCGATTTAATATCCCACGGGCCCAATGCTGGTGCAATACAACTGTCCTACTCATTCCGCTCTCGAGCGAAAGAGATGAGAAACGGTCCGGAGATAAATGTCAAGCCATGAATATTGAGTTAGTGGTGGAGTGGAGGCGAAAATACCGCAAATTGACCTGAGTTGTGAGAGCAGTCGGGATTGCTAATAAGACCGACCATTACCATTCAACTATCTGCTACAACCACTGATTACTGAATTAATTGGAGAAGATAAAATAAGTTCACTGAATTTTTCGCTATTAAATTACAGTTATAACAATATCAATAGGATAGTTATCGTTACCTCGGTCTACTCGCTGCCGGACATAAGCCTCAATGCCTTTGTGTCCGGTATTACTTCTCAAATATTCAAATCAGTGAATATACCGAAAAAATTTCACGTTTCAGTTGGATGAATATGTAATTTAAAAAAAGGTTGCATTCAAAGTTTAGTTTTTATGAGTTTTCCCCCTACATCGAGTTATCGTAAGCTATGGAACAATATTGCTCAGACAGTAAACATATTATTATAGCGCACGCACATAAATAAAGGAAAAGATAAACAAAATAGTTCTGGGGAAATGCAGCGATGTGTAAAATATCGGATCGAATATAAACCGCCCGCGATAAACTAAGGCCTAAGGAGGAGGGCACACGGGGTTATAAAAAAAAACTAAAAAAAAAAACAACTTATTGACCTTAATATAATAAACATACTCGTCGTATCTAATATATTTTATTGTTGAGAGAAATAAGGAGCTAAATATTTTATTCTAAAAATTTAATGTTAACTGCCAGATTCAATATTATTTTTTCAATAAATTAAAATTTACCCAAGTACTAAAAATTTCTCAACAAAACATTCTGAGTCTTCAAAAAAAATGTGGATATACACTATATCCACAAATAATATTTGATGTCGATTGTATTCGTGGATCCTAAAACAACACTCGCAGTTTAGAGCCGAGCGGATCCGCGCCGCGGAGCATTCGACGAGTGAGATGATTAGCTCGCCGCGTTGTTTTATCCCCTATTTATAGAGGTCGCTACACGGATTTATATGACAAAGTGAGGCCATGGTTTTAGGAAAACAGATTGTTGAGCTATCTTTACTTCTCTCTCTCTCTCTGCAGACAGACAGACAAAACTCAGTGGTTTATGCCAATGTAATAAATTTTATAAATGTTTAAGAACTTCTTTTGTAAAATGATAAGAAATAAAACAAAATGGTCGACTAGAACAGAATTTGAAAGAAATTAATTTTATGTAGGTAATGTGTGTGAACTAATAAATAAATTAAAACTTAGTAAAGTTTTAAAACTTATTAAAGCAATCGATAATTTTGATTTGTCGTTTTTAAAGTTGCATGAAATTCAGTAGGATGTTTACAGTCCTATAATTATTCAAAAATAATTGTGTGTTGAAATATGAAAACCTTCCGTTAAATCGTTTTGTCACGAATTGTTTGTTTCAGGGATCGTTCTCTGCGTGTCTCCACGCGCCGCTGCCTGCGAGCCGCCGCAAACGACGTCACTCCGCCGAACAGCCGGCCGGGACCAATTACGCGCGTTTACGCCCTGCCCAAACTAAACAGTTATGACCCGCCCGCAACTCCGCCGCTAACAAACACGACATTATAAACACGGAATGAAAACATCTCAACGCTGTGTATTACATTTGTTAATTGTTGTTAAAAGTTGTCATGTTTTTAGAAATAAAATCTTTAAAAATAGTCCTAACTACTAACTTTTTGTCTTATTTTTTAATTTATTATGATGTCTGTTAAATTAGTTACGAGTATGTTATTAAATCTAACCGTTTCATATTTTAAATCTAAATAATGCTCTTGTCCGCGACACAGCTCTTCTCTCTCTATTCGCAAATTAAACCAGCAAACGTCCAATTAACGACACCCCGCAGCCAGCGGTTCTCGTGACGTCTGCACCCGCCTTTATGTTGCGAGCTACGCCGTAGCCGCAGCCGTAGCACAATGCTACGAGTACTACGACGTGTAATTTCGGGACCTTTTTGCGTTACGCATGGTATGACTTTACAGTTTATTGCCGGTAGAAATTTTTGGGATCTGATTAACATTTTACCTCATTAATGAAGTCAATTTATTTTCAGATTGTAATCGTTCAGGAATTAATTACCATAATGTAATTTATTAATAAACTAGCTGACCCGGCGAACTTTGTTCCGCCTTAATGGCAATAAATAACGGGATAAAAAGTATCCTATGTCCTTCTCCTGACTCTAAACTACCTCCCCGACAATTTTCAGCTAAATCGGTTCAGCCGTTCTTGAGTTATAAGTGGAGTAACTAACACGACTTTCTTTTATATACATACAGTGTGAGTCACGTTAAAGTGTACATATGAAAATAGATGAAACTAGACCTATTTTTATCGACAAAAAAGAGGTCAAAAAATTTTTGAGATTTTTTTTTAATTTTTTATAGAATTTTTTTTCTTCCAATTACTTATTGTAAAGAAAACGTATTAACTTTTAAACTAAGCGGTATATCCTGATAAAATAAAAACAGTAATAATGCTAAATAACAGGCGATACTAAAAAAATACATAAAATACACAAAAAATGCCAACAAATAATAAATATGATACTTTTTGAAAAAAATCTGCTTTTAAATTCGTGTTTTTTTGGTTATTTGATTAATTTCTCCAAAAAATGCCCCTATAACAGGTGGTTTTTATTACTTTGTATTATTCTCTATCGTATTATCTTTGTAAAACCAAAAATCGCATGTCTCTATCCCTATCACAACATTTGCTTTTTTATTGCGGATCTCTAAAATTTCAGTATTTGAAAGAATTAAAGATACACAATTGACCTGAACTAGGTACATCTTAAAGCTGTACATAAGTTCACATTAGAATAAATTTATAGACATTAGCGCTGTAGTGGTACAAATGTGGAACTTAATATAGATAACAGCATTCTAACAGAACACATGTGAACCTAATATACGCTCACCGCATTAAATTGGAGTTATAACAGTTCACATAGCCGTATTTCATTTCCACCATTTTGTTCTACATAACCTAAAATATTTACCAAATAAATCTCCAAAATTAATGCAGATTTATCACAAAATTCGCAGATAGAGCGATTGAGTTTTGGTTTCATGTTATAATTAATTACCGTAGTATAATTATAATGCCAATACAATATCAAAAACTGAAAATTGTAGATTTCCTCTCAGCCAGTTTTAAATATTTTAAAATGAATATCGCGTTTTTACAGAGGCGCGTAAATATTTTAGCTGTAAATATGTATACATTTCACGATAAAGTTGCATTCCCAATGGCATTAACATTATTAAGTATTTAAAACCCGTGTTATTATTTGCATAAATGATTATATTATCCGCCCGAGTTGTTTCCTCTTGGCACTCTACAAATACCAAACTAATATTAAAATGTGGAAATAATTTAGGACACACGTGAACTTTATGTAGCATTGGAGTACTTTTGTCGGACTTTATAACACTGAAAGCTGTGCATTTAGCCACTTGTTACTCTTTATTGTCCTCACGTACGTTGTATGGTTCACACTGCGTCCCATATAGTGCCGTAAGTCAGCCTTAAGTACGATGTTACTACTTAAACTGCTATTATAATGCTATTATACTGCTGATGTACAGCCATAGTGAACTTAAGGCTGTCTAATTTGTGCCCAAACTGGTTCTATAAAAGCATTATAGCAAACTATACAGCTCGTATACAGCTGACATACACAGCTTGTGGAGTACATGTGAACGACTATTGAACTCTTAAATGGAGTAAAATGTTACTTGGGTTAGTATTTCTCTTCGACAAATACTTTAACACATTGTGAACCACTTTTCTTTCACGACTATAAAAATATTTTAGCAATTTAATTCATAAAACCAATTGCGCACATTTAAAATAAAGTTTGTTTACACTTTGACAGCAATAGACTGACATGCAAGGTGACATGTCAATGAAGTTTTCAGTTACTGTTGCCATTAAAAGAAATTAGTACCATTAGTTTTCCGCAACATGGCGAGGGTTTTTATGTTCCTGGTCAGGCTATACAAACCTTATTTCCATTCCAGTAAGCCACTCGAGTACCGGCCAGGCGACAATTACGAGCTAGACAACGTTCCGAAGCGAGACATGCCTCAGCGAGATGTTTACGAAGGCCTGCGCAACCGACAGACTTCTTACATGACTGGCTATACAGGATATGTTCCAGGGTTGAACTTTAGGTAAGGGAAAACCACATATTGTTTAAACATGGAGGTAAAGTAGAAGTCCCATTAAAGTTCCTTGAAGTACACCTCAACAACTATGAGCTAGACAACTTTACGAAGGCCTGCACAACCGACAGACGTCTTACATGACTGGTTACACGGGATATGATTCAGGGATGAACTTTAGGTAGGGAATACGAGAATAAGTTAAAGTAGATACCCCATTGAAGGTCCTTGAATCACACCTTTGTTAGTTGCTTAGCTGTCTTTGAATGTGAAAACCTATTACAATGCAATTTATTTATCAGTAAATGAATTGCATTGCAGTTTTCCAATACGATAGATGTCCCATAGTTTTTTTTATCAAATGCCTTAGGTACTCAAAGATAAATATAAAAGTTCGAAGTTTTTTATGGCTTTATCTTTTCTAGTTTGAAAATTCTTTCTTTACGGTATTAAGCTTTGTGATTCCTAAGTTACACAGGCTATCTATGAAAAATTCATGGTGAATTCGCGGTCAAAAGCTATAGTGATAAATGAAATCGTTTCAGATATGGCAAATCCTACGGCAGAGCAGCGGACGACTGCATGGCGGACTTTGCTGAGAACCAACGCGACTTGAGACGTAAAGCCGACCTGAACAGGTCCTTTATAAGGTCTCGGAGCGCACCAAAGATGGAGACGATACATTCCAGAGACGAGATACGGCGAGACCTGTCTAGATTTAGGGAGATCAATAAGTACAAAGGTAAGATCAAAACTGTATAAGTTACAACTGTATAAGATACCATCGTGTTTAGTTTGATGTATTTTTGTCGTGTCTTACCCCCTTACTAATAGTTAAAACTTACACGCTCGTTGAACAGTGTTTTAAAGTGACGTTTAGTATGGAAATGTCATTTTAAAACAGTGTTCAACAACTGTGTAACTTTTTATTAGTAAGGGGGTAAGTTTCTTAATGGTAATCAACAAAAAACTAGTTTCAAATCTATCTGACATAGGCTCAGTACCTACAAGTCCTTGAGAAAATAAATTACACACGAAAGTAATGTCTTTCGCACATCGAATAGATACTAAAGTCAAACGATTCTGAAACGCCAAATGGTAAAAAAAAAAACTAATAACCCTGTATTATAAGTAGCGCCAAGTAGCAGTGTTGGACAACGATATAAAGGTTTAGTTAGTATATCAACCGTTGACGATAAAATTCATAATTTCTGCCTTTCAGAGAACACAATATCTCCGGAATTCCCTCCAATCGCTGGATACACTGGCCACATCCCCCGCATCAAAGGTTCCGAAGCCTCCTTAAGTCAGAGATACCACTGCGCCGCCAAACGAGGCTTAGAGCTCATCAGAATGGAGCGAGACAAGAGAAAAGAGCTCCAGCAAGCGAACACAAACGTCAAAGCCATCCTTAAGGACCACGAGAAGAAATATTCTTACATCAATTGGGGATAGCATACAGGCAGGAGAATGTTCTTTACCAAGTGCCGGTGAACATTCTTCTGTGACAAACAGTATTTTGTTGTTGACGTGTGAAATAATAATTAGATTTATGACCTTTAATGGTGAAGGTTTCTGTCCCCCTAGACAAGTTGCACTTTTTGATCGAATCCTAAAGCCCGGTCTGTGAACACGTAGAATTTTGTCCAATGACCCCAAGCTACCCATCCTTATCGCTCGCGCGTAATTATATTGCTGTCGCGACTGTGCGACGGGCGCCACAGTGAGTGTGCGAGCGCGACAGCAACATAGTTACGCGCGAGCGATAAGGATAGGTAGCTTGGGATCATTGGACAAAATTCTACGTGCTCACGGACCAGACTATAGTAGTCATAACTCCATACAAAAAAGCTTTTCAACCATTTTACGACAGGTTTGCGATTGTAATGTGCACTTTGTCTAGACCCACTGTTACGATACTTTATGTAGTACGCGAGGCTGTTTGGTTGTTTCGAATGGTAAAACGTCACAAGCAATATCAAAATGCGTTCCGGCATGCCAATAATTCAAGTATACTTACACGTTAGAATAAATTAGGATAATATGCTAACGGTTATTCCTAAACGACGCAAAGTTTGCCGAATATTTTGACAACTTGTACATGTAGTAATATGTGCTAAAGTCCTTGCTAAAATTCAGACTTAGGTCGGATGTACGCAAAATATGGGTAGGCTCTATGGAATAGAGCTAGACAAAAGATGTGTACTTTTTGGTTAAGATTAATAGGGCTCAAGTGATTTATTCTAGATTTTTGAATGACGGAAATCAATAAAGTACTAGAGATCGTCGAATAGGGATAGCCAATAAGCAATAAGTAGATGTATCGTGCACCATTGTTGAAAGTCACCTAATTTCGCCTCTGTAGAGACACCAAGATGATACCCATAATCTGTGGTTTACGTATCGCTATAAGCTCTTTTGGCGTAAATCTTTCTGAGTTATGCAGTCGTCTTCAATCATCAAACCATCTGCAGAAGGCATTCAAAGAGTATTTCAACCTATACTTCCAATTTGTAAATGCCTTAGTACAAAAACGCATTTACATTACTTAACAAACATTATTTTGTAAATACTTGTTCTCATTGTAAAGATACATTATTTTCATTGTTAAATATTTTTAAATCGTGTAAAGAAATAAAATATTGGAGTTATATTGAGTTGTTTTATTTTTTAATAACCTTATAAAAATACTTATTTTTATATGACAGTAAACAAAAACTATGTTAGAATATTGTTAACATTATTTTAAAACTATTTTTGTGCTATGGCTAAATTAACTGGCTCATAAATTAAAATATATTAAATGCTTATTAAAATAAACTCTATACTTAGTCATGTTTATTATCTAGAGAGTTAAAATTAAGAGAGAATTAAGGCACATTCGATTGCTACAAATCTCAAAACTGACCTTGGGTCGCACCATTTTTGGATTTAGGAAATTCGTTGTATAAATTAACATCAAGTCCACAATCACATAATTGAGAACAAATCTATGAGTACACTAAATTACTTGAAGTAAATAGATACCTTTTAACTTTCTATGGGCAGCTCAACCATTTTGCCTGTCCTTTGATCAACCCCATCGATGATGATTGGTTCCTCATCATCAAGTGACTTGTTCACAACTTCTATTTCTCGTTTTTTATCAGTGGCCAATTCCAACATTAGCGTTTCTAGTTTCTGGGCTTTCCTAGTTTCGTTGTGGGTTATTAACGCGCATAGATGTTCTGTGAGCAACTCTTTCTTCTCTCTTTCCTTTTGAAGGTTGATTTTTGCTTGGAGAAATTCTTTTTCAACTTTGAGGTAGTGTTTTCTGAAAATATACAAATAAAAATAAGTATAAAGGTCCGTGAGCACGTAGAATTTTGTCCAATGACCCCTAGATACCCATACTTATCGCTCGCGCGTAATTATGTTGCTGTCGCACTCGCACACTCACTGCGGGCGCCCGTCGCACAGTCGCGACAGCAATATAATTACGCGCGAGCGATAAGGATGGGTAGCTTGGGGTCATTGGACAAAATTCTATGTGCTCACGGACCAGGCTTTAGTAGCCAAGTCATATGCAACACAGTTCACTAGCGCCCTCTAGGTGAAAAATAGTTGAATGGTTTAATTGTGATCAATACTACAGCACATTACGATTTTGATTCTATAGCATAATATAAAGGCGAAAATTTGATTCTATAACATAATATAAAGGATGTCTGGATGTTAATATGTTTGTAACTCTTTCAAACAAAAACTACTGAACGGATTTAGATGAAATGTTACAGTATTATTGTTTATAATCCAGAATAACTAAAATTTATGACGATCTGTGACAAACTAAATTTTACGCGGGCAAAAGCTACTTTATACATAAATTGAAAATTATTAAAAAATAACAGGTAGGCTGACCAGATTGTGAATAATAATAATAATTCACTTAAATCATTTATATTTTAGTGCCAATTGACACAGGCTATTATTCCAAGGATAGTGGATGAAAAGAGCCAAATTCGAACAGAAATAAGTATCAAATTCTTACTCTGCATCAGCATAACTTAGACAGGCCTGATCAATCTTCTTCCTCAGCACAGCTACGTCCAGGGAGAACTGTCCGTCCAGTACTTGCAATTCCTTCTTGATTTTCTCCAATTTCATCACCTCTTCTTCTGTCTGTTTAGTCCTAGAAAATAAACATTCAAAATAAAAGTTATAGTTCCAAAATACTGAACTGTCCTGTCCATGACATTGACAGCGGGGCGCCACCGTCTATACCGGGTCGCTGGTTCCGATTTTTGCCATGTTGGAAACCACATAGTTGAACGATGGTAGCGCCCCCTGTCATTGAGTTTTGTGGGACAGTTCAGCGTGGGTCATCTATAACCCCTTTGCTTGTATTTGTTTCTGTCTTATTGGTTGCCAGAAAGTCCTAAATAAATCAAAACTGACATAAAAGTTAAATGTTTATTAAATTACCATATAGGTTTTGTAACAAGCTTAAAAAACCTGCTGTATTTTGATAAATCAACCATTCCTTCATATAAAACATTCACTGAACTGGACAATATTTACACTTGTACACGACCAAGTGATAAAAAAATCTAATAAAAATGAGTCCGCACTTGACATGATAATATTGATAAAAAAGATTAGACTTCTGTCAAATTGGTTATCTTTAAAAACTATTTTATGATATCAGTTGACAGCACAACAGACTATGCATTTTTGTAGCAATCCACTGAATACTTCATAAATTATTATCAATAACTTTAACTACACTCAACATCAAATAAACCGCACCTTCCGCGACGCGAACTTTAAAGATTTTCTTCTGACACAATCATGGTACCCCGACAATATTGGTGTTATTTGAAAGCCCAATAAAATATCCTTAAAGAAAAACACATTTAATTTCTTAATAAAAGATTAACATATACCATAAATGTGACTTGAAAGAAGACCTCACTTTGGGCTCACCTCTGGGATCAATTAGACCAAATTTTATGGTTATAATACCAAATAATGATTACACGTGTCCTCTTTAACAGATGGATAGCGATTAATCCCAACTTAACAGTTTTATGGCCATAAAAGTTGGCTCAAACGTAACTACCTATTTTTTGAAGAAGTGACTCTAGACCCTTCTAAAACACATTTTTAGGGTAAAAACCTTTCCTTTAATGAAATGAAGTTTGGAACTAGGCTTTTAAATGGTGCCAATATTGGTGGGAAGTGGGGATGCATACGTTCCAAAGTGGTCCAAAGTCCTATATTCCTACCTGGGGAGGTCACTCTGTGAACTGTAAATCCCAGACTTGGCCATAAACAAAATAAGAAGTATATTCTTACCTATCTGCCAGTGCTTTAGCAAGCATCTCTTTCCTCTTCTTGTTCTGTTCTTCCATCAACTTCTGTTTCAGTTGCAGCTCTCCTAACTTCACTTTGTGGGCTGCCAATTCCTCTTCTGAATAGTTACTAACTCCTCGTACAATATCTGGTGTGCTGGTTGTACTACATTTCCTAAGATCAGTACTCGAATCCATTTCGGCCACTTCATTAGACGGTCGCTCGATTTCATTATTATTTAAATTCAAATTAGGTACATCTTCCTCAACGTCAGCTTCGTTAGTATTTGTCTCAGTTTCAGTATCATTTCCATCGCTATCAATGTTACCTAAAGTGTCATGTCCAGAAGAAGTAGGCGTTTTGATGCTTAGTTTGCATTTTTCGAAGTTGATTGTATCAATAGCTTCATCCGAACTCTGATTTTGAAGCTGAAGTATTGGCAATTTGTAGGAATTAGTTGGTCTCTTTGGTTTCCCACCAAGTTTGTCCACCTTCTTTACTGTTGATGAGTTTATTTGACTGGAGAGTCCTGTAAAATACAAATTCAAAATTATAACTCATAGATTAGATACCCAATTTATTAAATTTACACAAAATTACTTTGTAACACACAACTAGCAATGTATGATGACAATGTGTCAACTTTTAAATGTTATCTATCTTCAATGTCCGGTGAGCATTAATCACACATTTATATCATAAATATTGTATTATGTACAGTTTATTAAGGATGCATATTACAAGTTAACAACCTTTTTCTTTTTTGTATATTTCAAACTTCCCAAAAGATAATAAATGATAGCCAAGGTCATGACCTTGTATCTGTAGTTGATTAATGTAATCCTGAATCATACAATGTACCTTTACTTTTACCTGTGGGAACCTATAAGTGGTTTACTTGCTGCCTATCTTATGTCATTATTACACACTGTAAAACCCTGGTTTTCCTAAATAAATAAATAGGTAAATAAAAAAAAATAAAGTAAGAACTGATGTTGTCAAAATGATCTTTGTATGCATCAAGAAAACTGATTCATGAGTAATCAATCGCATCATCAAATACCAACAGTCAAGGTCATAGCATGTTTTTTTTACCTAGAAATTCTATTCTAAGATTTAAAATAGATAATTATTTTTTTTACCTAGAAACTCGCATCTCTAATACTTAAAACAAATTAAATTAAAAGGTTTTATAGAAAATAATGTACTATAGTTGTGTATAAGTACTAACTGAAACTAAAATCTTCAACTGAACAACTACAACTCCTACAAGGCTCTACCCAATGCAGAGACAAAAAAAAATTTATTAATCTAAGAGCTAAGCTATGTACAACTTTGTTTACTTGGCGATTGTCGTAATGCATAATACTGCTTTAAAGAACAGAAAATGAGATTAAACCACAGATTTGAGAATTAAACAAAGCAAATATAGTTAATAGTATATAATCTACGATCTAAACGTATTCTACTGCATAATATCGACATTGAAAGTTTCCGGTATAAACAACGCGAAACCTAAAGGATTTTAAACGTTTATTTGCTAACAAAATATAGTATAAGCCTGAAGGGCCCACAAGCGTCTTACAATCGACGCAAATTTTATACTCAAGTTGTAAAAACTGTGGGAAAATAATACAGGCAAAAAGAAAGAAGTGAAACTAATTAAACCTACCATTACTTGGTTCTACTTCGCTGGATTTTATCCGTTTCAAATCTTCTTCACTGAAACCAGTGAATGTAGACGTCATTGTTTCTTATTAAATTGGTAATGCATATGTGTAACTCTTCTTGATTCTTGAATCCTTTTCCCGATTTCCAAAATTTTTTGAAACATCTGACTCGACGTGTCTCAAAAATTGTCAAATACTGACAGCTCTGACGTTTTGTTTGAATACTATGTTCCATTTTACGTAATGAAAACGCTTCGATCATTCATAACTTTGCGCCGTTCGGTGATGAAAATTCTATAGCTCCATAGCCGTAAATAAAAGGTTTTAAGAAAAAAAATAGAGCGTAGGGTTGCAAGTTGACGAAAAATATCGATATCGATAATATCGTTATTTTCTTCTGGTATAATCAATTAAGGAAACTATTTATTTTCTTTGAAAGTTTTTAATGAATCAGTTAAGAAAAAAAATCAGTCGTTATATCTAGTAGAATTCGTGGGTTCCACACTGTTGTTTAATTACTCTTATGCAACAAATGTGTAAAAGCAGCGTGGCCAAAAATTGGGATTTATCAACCTGAACTGAAAACTAAGGGAATCTCCAAATAATTTGCATTTACCTACATTTGCAAAATTATTAAAAGTTCTAATTTTATTTTATGGATTGATAAAATGCCTAATTTTATAATTACAAATCACATAATAATATACCTCTAGGAGATAGCAATGTAACATTTTGAACATCTTGTACCTACTACACTTTATTGTTGGAACTCCTGTAACATTGCGAAGTGAATAAATGAATATGAATATGAATAATTATCTCCAAGTGTGTACCAGAGGCATCATCAACTATTTAATCTTCTACAGGGTGTTAGGTAAATGGGTATATGAGCCGACACTAGCCCATGTTAACATGGGCATATAAATGGTATGGTAAAGTCAGAAAATTGATATCTTCATTTTAATTATTTTAATTTTCATACAAATCGGATTTTATAAAATTTATTTTGTATGAAAATTAAAAAAAAATGATGATATCAAATTTCTGACTTCACCATACCATTTATGTGCCCATGTTAACATGGGCTAGTGTCGGCTCATATACCCATTTACCTAACATCCTGTATACATATAGCTTCCCCTATAAAATGTATTGATGTAATGCAGCGCTTGATCCTCCTTACGAGTGGCAAAATGTGACAGTTGTAATGTCGAAAGATAATCGAATCGATAAGCCTTTTTAAAGGATTCAATTTTTGATTTAAAAAGTGCCACTTGTTTGGCTACTGTGTTACTACATAAAAAAGGTATGTTGCCTATGCTCTCCCAAAAACATATTATTTTTTCGAAGTTGACATTTCACCTTTTTGATAAAATAATATCGTATCGAGACTGGAACAATATCAATAAAAATTATTGATATTTTTTTGCCGTTAACATCGATATTATCGAAAATGCGATAAATCCTCACATCCCTAAAAAAAAGCGCTTCCTTTTTGACAGTTTGTTTGTGTCGGCTTGGCGTTTTTAGGTTATTTTGCTGCTAAAAGCAAAATTAATCGCTGAAATATTTTTACTGAAGTCAAAAGGTAAAGGTGTACTTGCTGTCATGAAATCGTACGTTTCTTAGCTTGATTGAGGTAATAAATAAATTAAACTGTGTTTTTTCTAGATAACCTATCACAATGGCGGCGGCTATGCCAATCAACCCCAAACCATTCCTCAACAGTCTTACTGGCAAGTCCGTCCTTGTAAAATTGAAGTGGGGCCATGAGTACAAGGGTTTGCTCGTGTCTGCTGATGGTTACATGAACCTACAACTCGCCAATACCGAAGAAATTGTGGAGGGAAACAGCACAGGTTAGAATAGGAAATATTTTTCCCTGCGATTTTCAGACACCTGTATTTTTTTGTCTGTATTGTTCTTCTTGCATTGGTTATTTCCGCCTCTGCCACTGTATTTATTTTTAGATGACTTCAAAGTTTGTGCCAAACAATTTTCTAAGAACAGACGTGTTACTATTTTATAAAGGAGGTAGTTAAATAATCTACAAAAAATCTTAGAAGGTTTACTAATCAGCAGATGATAGAAGAACAGACTGTATGTAACCTTTTGTTGGCAAATAAAACACTTTTTACTTCACATTTTCCATTTCAGGTAACCTTGGCGAAGTTCTGATTAGATGTAACAACGTCCTATATGTGAGAGGAGCGGAAGAAGAGGATGAGGAAGGTGAAATGAAGGAATAGGTTTTAATTTAAGCTTAATTTAGTAATATTAAGTATAAGGTTTAATAAATATTTTTAAGGCAATTATCGTCTTTCATTGATACCTAATTTTTGGTTGAGGCAGTCAACAATACATTTTTTTAGGGTTCCGTAGCCAAATGGCAAAAAACGGAACCCTTATAGATTCGTCATGTCTGTCTGTCCGCCTGTCCGTCCGTAAGTCACAGCCATTTTTTTCCGAAACTATAAGAGCTATACTGTTGAAACTTGGTAAGTAGATGTATTCTGTGAACCGCATTAAGATTTTGATGCAAAAATAAAAAAATAATAAATATTGGGGGCTTAGGGGCCGTTCAAGTATTACGTAAGCAGATTTCTTACCAATTTTTACCCCCCCGCCCCCCTTGTCATCAAAAGTAAGCAAAGCACTTACCCCCTCCCCCTATGCTTACGTAAACATTTTTAGTTATAAATGTTTTTTATATTGTCATTTTTAAAATAAGTAGGAAAATTCATGAAAATAAAGGTTTAACTGATACACACAGAGTAAGGGACAAAAAAATCCCATCAAAAACAATACTTGTCAAAAAAACCAAGTCTCGCAACTCAGTTGTTCTACGGTAAAAAGTTGTGAGATCCATGTAATACCAAGTCCAGGCCAGGAAATCTTTAACGTTTTACATAAATATATTGACTTGGCCATCGCACTAAATAATTTAATTTACACGTGTTTTCATGCGACGGACGCCCGCAGTGAGTGTGCGAGCGCGACAGCAACATAATTACGCGCGAGCGATAAGGATGGGTAGCTTGGGGTCATTGGACAAAATTCTACGTGCTCACGGACCAGGCTATATGTACTTTCAAGTTTAGTGAAATCAATTCTATAGCTATATTTTATTATTGTGTGCCAGCCAAGGAAAGGATATTAGATTAGAGAAAGAAACATAATTTATCACTTCAGTGTAATTTTATTTTTCTTTCAACAGGTTGTTTAGTTATTTACAGTTACAGTTCACAACAATCACACAATACAAGGCCTACTGATTGCCATAATTTTGGTATTGCAATAAAAATATACATTTATCTTTGAGAAGACGTGCTTGTGGGCAGATTCTTTTCATTATGAAATGAACTTAATGTAACTTTATCCAATTGTAAAAGAAACTTAAAATTAGTAATAGTAATTTAATAACATGTGTCAAGTACAGGTACGTTATTTTATCGCAGACAGATGTGCGTTTATGTGCCCATATTTATATGCCTTTAATAGAGGGCGAATTTCAAAATGCACAGAAGGAAGACCTAAAATTAGTATTTGCCTTAGATCACAACAATAAGGGAAGATAGGTAGGTACTACGCACACTATAAAGTGCGAGCGAGTTGAGAGAGTGAATACTATCGTGTATTGCGTTTATTTGCGTAGGCCAACCCCACTGTGAAATACTGGAGCGAAATTGTGTGCATGAACTTAATTTGAGCGGATCACTTCCTTTTTGTTTTAATCTAAGTTTTATAGTGATTGTACTACCCGTTCGCGCTAAGTTTGCCGCTCCGTGGAATGCGCGTCCCCTCCTCCAATCGCGATTAAACGCAATTGAGTGTTTTATTTTACGCAAATACACAATTTTTATCAATATTAATTAGAGATGAAACGGATATCCGGCAACTATCCGGTAGGCCGGATATCCGGCCTAAATTTACTATCCGGCCGGATACCGGATAGTAGCTCACTATCCGGCCGGATACCGGATATTAAAAAACTACGAAAATTTCCTATAATAAAATGAAACACATTAATTGAGTTAATATCAATAAAATGGCTTATAATAATGACGGTTTTTATCGAAAGTCCAAAAAGTTACAAAAAAGCCATATTAAGGCCTTTCAAAAAACTAATTTCTTTTCTGGGCTATTCACTTTAATGACGAATACATAAATAGTAAATATATTTTAATGTCGAAATATTGCCAAATAAAATAGGCGATCTTTTTTTTCACTGATGGTCTGATGACATTCAGGGTGACTTTGAAATCGTTGGCATCCTTTTAATATAAGACTACTCATGATAACTACATAGTGCATTCCCCAAATATGAGACAAATCCAATGAGATTTTTGGTCATTATTTTAACTATCTATTTGTATTAGTGTGCTCTTAAAAAGAGTTTAAAACTATTGTACAGTCAACAATACATCATCTTATACATTTTGTTGCAAAATAACACTTAATACCTAAATTGAAATCTGTACAAGATTTCATATATTGAAATTTTAATTCATTTGATATGACTCATATTTGGGNAAATCTTTTGTTTTTATTTGAAATCTAACTTGTCTTTATCAAAATTACAAATCTAGAGCCATTTTCAGTTTTGTTGTTAACGAAGCGTTGAATGGCGCGCCCGGAGAGGCTTAGTTCAAACGATCATTGCAAACGTTGTGATAGTGATAGAGACATGCGATTTTTCGTTTTACGAAGGTAATACGATAGAGAATAATACAAAGTAATAAAAACTACCAGTTATAGGGGCATTTTTTGGAGAAATTTAGCAAATAACCAAAAAAACACGAATTTTTAAGCGGATTTTTTCAAAAAGTATATTTTTTTTATTATTTGTTGGCCTTTTTTGTGTATTTTATGTATTTTTTTAGTATTGCCTGTTATTTAGCATTATTACTGTTTTTATTTTATCAAGATATACCGCTTAGTTTAAAAGTTATTATGTTTTCTTTACAATAAGTAATTGGAAGAAAAAAATTCTATAAAAAATTTAAAAAAAATCTCATAAATTTTTTGACCTCTTTTTTGTCGATAAAAATAGGTCTAGTTTCATCTATTTTCATATGTACACTTTAACGTGACTCACACTGTATATAGATTAATAACAATATAAATGATAAATTATCGGGAGTAATTTTTAATATGATTCACCAAAAAACCTGTTTTTTTTAATCAAGGTAATTGAGAATAGTTGTTTGTTATAA